CGCCTGTACGACCGTCTATGTACAACAAAAAACTGCATAATTTGCCCAAATGGTAGAGACGGTGATTGCATGAGTTCGGGTACAGTCTATCTGATCTCTTGTAAAGCGTGCGGGCACGAATATGTTGGCGAAACGGGTAGACCGCTCTGCGTCCGCATAAAAGAACACCTAGTCGGTAAATCTAAACTAAAACACAATACCCCACTAGGCGCGCATAGGATGCAAGAACACAACGGAGAAGATTTTGAGGTAGGAGTCACTATCCTTACGCAGGAATCGAAAACATCAGCGCGAAAAACTCTTGAAGCGTTTTGGATCAATGCCAAAAATTCAAAAATGAACCGCAAGGAGGAGTGTCTTGTCATCACGCGTGACCTAGCGCCATACCTCAGGCTGATCCAATGATCTGACATGGACCCAGTTATCGACCATGTATTACTCTGTGCGGCGGCTATCCACCAACTAACTTAAATACTTACAACAAATAAACGGTAGGTGTTTGAATGAAGCTGTTTCTTATGCGAATACAAATCGATTTATCAAGTTTTATCTGCTAGGGTTATGAAAGTGTTTGGCTGAGTAGATCGCATCTCAATTTGACCTTTCCAGGCTCTGAAGAAGGCGAAACCGCCGAAACGTCAGCAATTGTGTTCTAATAAATTCTATATTAACAACCTCGTGTCTGCTTATTGATGAAAAACATTGAACTAACAGCTCTTTTCCATCGGTTGTCGTCCATATGTACTACATGTTCAGCCCACCATATTTTCGACAATTTGGCGCATAAAACTGTGTCTTTGATTTATTACCGCTGACGCAGATCGAAATTCTGGATCACTCCCCTCACTTGTGTGACACCGGATACTCCTAGCCTCGTCTTTCGACTGCGCGTTCAGTAACACTGAGAGATCTCTCATCCTGCTTACGCAGAGTCCAGGTTTTTACGCATATGCTAAAGCAAGAAGAACCGTTGAGTCGAAAAGGTGGGCATGGATAGCGTGTTCTTTGTCCTATTCACCACATCCTCGATGCTTTTGAAAGTTTCCCAAGCTGCTCGTTTCCTTCGGCTCGGCTTTTGAGCAAAGTCGTTCATCATATTGATTTCCCGACCTAGATAGACTTAACTGAAGCATTCGGAGATATTGGTTCAGTTAAGCGTGAATGGGTGATAGGAAACCAATCCGCTTCTCATGAACATCGTTTCTGTAAGACTTACTCGAAGACCAATCTTTCCACAAGCGTTATCAAAGTCAGCAATCAATCGTTCCACTTAGATAATGCTAGGTGTTGTAAGAACGGTGCTATCAGAAAAGTGGAAATAATGTAATTGCCGACCATCGATTTTCACTCCCATGTTATCTCACTCTAATGTCCGCATGACGTTCTCGAGGATGGCGGTAAATAATTTTGACGAGATAGTATCGCCTTGCCTAACCCATCTTTTGACATTGAAGTTAATATTGTTCTGGAATGGCGATATCTTGGCTGTAAAATTTTTGTACAACTCACGAAGAATCTTTATATTCCAAGTATGGAGTCCCTGATTATCAAGAACTTCCATGACTGGTTCTATCTAAATTGAGTCAAAGGCCTTCTTTAAATCGATTAAAGTGAGATAAAGCGGCCTTTTGTACTCTCGCGATACTTCAATGAGTCTTGTCGTGTTATCGTGTGGATGTGGTCCATCATACTGAACCCCTTTCGAAACCCTGCTTGCTCACATGCCTGCCCTTCGTCCATTGTTCTGTCAAGCCTGTTTAGGATAACTCGAGTGAAATGTTTGTAGAAGATAGAGAGCAAGCAGATTGAGCGATGGTTGCCGATATCGTGGAGGTCAGCCTTCATAAAGATCACGATCTTGCTGGTCTTCCATTAAGTGGGGGCCCAGCATTCAAACAGGTAACGTATGAAGAGCCCAGCAAGTGTGTTTACGAGAATTGGTGGAATGTTCCTCAGGTGTTCAGATATTATCCTGTCATCACCTGGCGCTGGTCGATTTTTCACCGATGAAATGGCATATCGGATTTGGCAAGGAATAAGCGGTGGTACGACATATCCATCATCCTTTACTTCATATGCGGGAAAGAGGACGCGGCCATCGAAGAGATCTGAGTAGTATTCGTGAATGATTTTCTTCATTGCCTTTCTGGACGCTGTAACTGTTCCGTTTGGGCGTCGGAGTGCAATCATCATGGTCTTGTAATTGGCGAAGCTTCGGTGGACTTTGCGAATGCTTTTCCCAGCCTCTGCAGTTTCGACCATTGCTGCTGCTCTTCTCTCTTTAAGATCTTTTATCGCCTGTCTACATTCTTTTGCAAGCTCGGACGTTAGTTGGCGGTTGCCTGCGGCTCGTGCGATTCCACGCTGGCGTATCAGCTCGAGTATTTCTGGAGATAGACGTCTCTTGGTGACTTTCTAAGTATAACCTTTCATAGCGCTAGCGCGAAGATGTTGAATGAGCCTATCGTAGTCTTCTTCGATGTTATCGATAACGGCATCTTCCCAACAGCCGTCTAATGAGTTAAACAAATCCCAGTTTATGGTGGTTTTGGGACTTCGGTTTTTAAATTCAGCGGCTTTTTCTGCTTTCCGCTAGAAATTAAATCTTGCATGAAAGAGGCGATGGTCTGATCCCCTGCAGAATTTTGGGACAACAGGAACATCGATAGGGCAAAAGCTTCGATGTGCTATGTGGTCTATTTCTTTATGGTGTTCTCCACTGGAAGACTCTCTCGTCCAACGCTCAGGGTGGGGCTTCTGGAATTGCGAGTTACCATGGAAGGTCTTGGTCGTCATGATAAACTCAGACAGCCGCTCACTCTATTTGTTCCATTCTAATCCGTGGGCCCCAATGTGACATTGTTCAGACGTTCTTCTTGGCCCAATCTTGGCGTTAAAATCTCCAGTGATTACTTTGAGGAATGTATGATCTTCTCTGTAGAACTTCTCCAAGTCCATATAGAACGCCTCGACTTCTTCTCCGTCATAGTTTAATGTTGGCGCGTAAACGAGGACGATTGTCAAAGCCGGTATTGATCCACATCTTTTTAATTGTAAACGTCCAATTCGGGTTGTTAGTTGTTCGAAAAAATCGATGTTAATATACAAATTCGTGTTGGCGAGAACACCGACGCCGCCGACTCCTCTACTGTTGCATGTTCCGAGGAACAGTTCTTCTCCGGTGTCATAGGCGGCGTTGAATAGGTGGTGTCGTCTCGTCTCGGCCAGGCCGATGACGTCGTACCTTATCCTTCTTGCTTGCATGAGCAAGCCTTCTATCGAGGACTCGGACGCAAGTGTACGTGCATTGTAGGTACAGATCGTCATCATAATTCTTCGTGATCCAGGCAGCTTCCATTGGGCATGAGATTTTAGCAGCCTCTCCATATTCGTCCTACGGAACGCTGCGAAATTAGGGGCTCTTTCGTAGTTAGAGAATGAGGCCCGTTTCTTTCACTGTTTTTGGCTTTTTGATACCCAACTTTGATTTCACAACCCCTATCCACCACCTGGAACGCGCCACGTAGCTTCGCGACTTGGCGGCCCGAGAGCCATCATATAAAGGAGATCCGTGGACGTGGAGGATAACTACGCTAAATGGAGGACGATTTCTCTTATGATCAAACCGTTTGTTCCAGTTATGACTAGACACAAGTATAATTTTTTATCTATTACCCATCATTTTTTCACGACATAGTATTGTGCGAGATACAACCACAATGGTCCTGAGATATCTGCAAAACTCTGCACCTAAGGTGTGTGCGGTGGGTACGAACTAGCTACAACCCTTTCTCGGTTCTAACGTTTTCACCACCATAGCATACTGATCTTTCGTTTCGCCTTTCTCTCAGCCAGTCCTTTCTACTATAGGCACTTAGTTTAACCAGCACGGTAAGGAAAAAAGACTTAAAGGAATTCTGTAATCAAGTGACTAACTCGTCTAACCTCATCCTCAACATTTTGACGGTTCCGTGTTCTCTCTCGTTTTCGAATTTCTAATCCAGATGAAGATGTGTCTCCTGCGAAATATTTAGAAACCTGCCAAAAAATGCGTTATATAATTGCAAACGGAAATTCCCCTTTTTGTTATTTTATTTTATGCAACCCGTCTTCATGTCTACCTCCTAGTTTCTTCGTACACTCTTTTTCTTTCAACTTTGGTCTTCATATGTATGACTGGTCCTCACATCTATTGTACGCTTCGCAGCACTTCTCACATTCGATTCATTTCCTTGCATTCACCATCCACTAAGATTTTCCAACTTTTAGGTGTAGCTTCGGCTGGTGCTTAAGAATTTTCATTTCATCTTGAATGTCGTAGAATGCTGGTCGAGTCCATACTCTCTGGAATCCTGAGCTAGCCGGGATTGAGCGTTTCCAATTGGACGTCAGAGAGTGATTCTTCCCGGACAAGTCCGGTACCAATTCTTGATCATAAGGGGATGAGAGGTTTGGTTGGCCCATAACGGAATCAAACTAGCACCACGGCCCTGATGACCGAAATCACTACCATTGTACTATCCAACCCCTCCCCCTTTTTCTTATTAAATACACGTTATGAAAGAAATAGCAGATATTAAGTGCTACCTATAAAAGAAAACCAGAAATGTCTTTCCTCTTTCCTATACTTCAAAAGTAATGAAAGCTCACGCACTTTCCTAGAAAGCTGCCATTTGGGCACCTCAAAAGGTGATTTGTGCTTTTGTTTGGGTGACTTCAACTCGTCTTCATAAACAAATTTTTGACATGTCTTCTCCTAAGTGTTTAATACCCGTAGAAACGAAACACAAAGGTTTTCTCAGCAAGAAATAAAGATAAAAATATAGCGAGAAGCTTGAACACAAAATCACATTACCACTTTCATATCGGTTGCGATCTCCGAATTATCTGTCCAGACCACAGCGTCACCACCAAGGCTAATTTCAGCCGGATTGATTGCTTTTGGTCTTGGGAGTTTCGCTTTTGTCGGTTTTCTATTATCCGTAGTGTTCACTATACGCGATCCTAAATTACGGGAATAAACATAAGATGACATAGACATCAGCTTTGGCAACAAACAATGATAGAGATGTCTCATATTAAATAAAGGATAAAGCTCTCGGCGTTAATCAATCTCTGAAGGATGCGCCATGTATTCGACTTTTTCAACAACGGAGGTAACTGAATGCATATCTGGTCTTTAGAATGACTCGCGATGGCCTACTGATGTATCCAGCCAGTGTTGCTATCCTACCAGACAAGCCTGGTACCAATTTGCCAACCCTGGAGTGATGGAGGGCTTGGTGAGCCTGACGCCCGGGATCAATCCCATGTGTATTGCAGGGCTCACCCGACAACAGCGCTACACAGGCCTATCTCACATTAAAAGGGTGATTTTTAAAATCATATCAAACAACAATCACTATAGGAGTTGAGCAAAAAAGATGCGTGGAAAGACTGGATTTTGGTCCACATTTTTTCCTTCCATGGAATTTCGCTATGAAATATTCATTTCCATTTAGGTTTGAACTGAACAACTATATAAAAAGCAGGTAATCGATCTAAGCGAAGACGTGTGTACTACAAGCAGTAGATCGAGTATCATTCATTGTTGTTTCTATCATGGCCCAGCCATGACAACAATTGTACCACAGGACGGTTCAGTAGATTCTCCACTAGGTACACTGTGCCCAGATCCAACATATCTGATCAATGAGCATGACTTTAGTACTTCTTTAGTCTCTTATCATCTTCATTCGCACAATCACAGCTCCTCTTCTGAAGCAGCTGTACGTTGACATCTAACAATCTACTGACAAAATGTAAACATCGACATGTCTCTGAACCACTTGCTTGTAATACAAACAGTACCTATGGCTTATGGCAAGTCAACGCTAAATACCGACAAATACAGGTTTGCAAACTAACGATTTTCATTGCTCAATCCATTGGATCAACGTCAAAGCTAAAGCGTTATAAGTTATGCCCTGTTTCAAGTAGACCAATAAAACCTTTCGTTGTCCATAAAAGCACCAACAATCTTTCGACCCACGTCTCCTATTAATTGATTTTGTCCTTTGACCCTTCGCTAGGCTGACCCTAGTATGAAGATCATCCTCGGTTTCAAGCTCTCATGGACATTAGAAGTCAGAGCCATTCATGTTATACGAGATTCAGACTTCCTTCTGATACAAAAACAGAATGCCCGATGTTACAATCTGTATAAGTTCTGGTACTTATACGTCAAACCGAGAAAGGAGAAAAAACTTTCTCCAATACAATGTGCACATTTCAATACCCCGAACTCCAGAAGTTGCATGATAAGGGAGTAACACTGTGGGTTGGTCCAACCGCAACACCCCTAACAAGACTTGTAATCAGTGCTAGATATGCAAGATCTTTTCCGAAGAAGCTAAATTTGTAAAGGCAAGAAAAATGATCAAAAGCAGTTCAAAAAAGGATCAGTCTAAAGAAGTGGCATCGGAATACTCCAGTCTGTTCCTCAGTATGAGTTCCAGAGCAGACCACAGAATTCCCACTGGAATTAGCCTGAATTCTTCCCTCTGAAGTATGAGTTGTAATCAACAGTGTTAACAGGGACAGAGCTTAAGAATCAGACAACATGGCAATGTACTTCATGCTGAAAATCACAAACACTACACACTTCCGATAACTCAAATAACGGGATAAAAGATATGATAAAGCGGCGTTGATCAATCCCTGAGGGATGCGCTATGCATTCCACTTCAACAAGCATTGTTTGAAGGTGAGTGGTTAAATAGACATATGGCCTTTAAAATGACTCGCAGTGGCCTACTGATGTGTCGAGCCGGTGCTGTTGTCCTCTCAGACAAGTCTATTACAAATTTGCCGATCCCGGAGGGATGGAAGGCTTGGCTGCCCTATACGCGCCCTTTAAAACAACTTAAATATATAATATACGAGCACAGCAATGGAATAGACTTCAAGGGCGCGAAAGAGTCTAAAAGAGAGATCACCAAGACGCACATATTGGGTTGTCACTCACCTTAATGAATTGTGCTTACAGCTTAACCTTACCACAGGAATAAATAAATGTAGCCACCTTAAAACATAAATAACCGCCCAAAAATAGTAAACATGTGGTCATATGGAAACAAAAAGTGGAAATTAACCTTGGGTTTGCTAATTCATGAAGGCCTCCCAATGGCTCACCGCTGGGAGGTGTTCCTGGATTTCTGGCCGCGATGTACAGCGAGGGGATTCATTACCCCAGTAGACCCTCCCAAGTTGAGGAATCCAGCTTTTCCATCATAAAGTCCACTTAGGAGTAAACTAATATCATGTATCAAACTAGTCGAGCGGTGGCAAATCTTCCTCCGATCCACAAAGGCAGCGAATGACTGTGGTGGTGACGAGCAGACTTTGTGCAGGCTGACCTCGAAATTCCAGCGAACCACAACGGCCATGCCAACAATACTCCAAAGAAATGGAAATCTTGCTGGGTCCTGCACAACCAGTGAGGACGGATCAGTCAATTATTCAAGTAATTCACGAAGACAAACCGCCCAGGTTGCCAAACAACCCTCCCTACTGAAATACATATATGACGAACCTTTCGGATGAGACTTCATCCGCGATTTTCGCCAAGGTGTAGGCAATCCACATAAATCCTCTGCTTCGTTTTCCATTCGAGTTCTTCTCTTGTTAATCTCTCTTCTTAACCTGTCGATATGTTCAGTTATTTCAATCTCTTTCTGGCTGGTGAATACACGCCGTCTGAAAAAAGAAGAACTGAACGCTTAGTTCGAATACTCATCATTCTTGAACAAGTGACTCGCCTAAACCTATCAGAGTTTGGTCCTTTCGGTTTGGAAAATAAGTTTTTGTACCAGCCAAATTGTTTGTCCCACCGGCACACTAGCTCTATCATAACCTCTAATACCTAGAAAATTCGATTATGATCACAGTTATTATAATAAGAACAGGAAATCAACATTAAAAATCTCAGAAGTCTGCTATTAGTCAAACTTTAGAGGGGAATCCTCCTGCTCAACAATCATTGAAAACAACCAAGTCATAAAATTCGTTATATTTTGTGAAATCAACCAATGTTATTCACGAACTTGCTTGCCTGGGATACTTAGAATGACCGTCTTCGCTGGTTTGCGGGCCTCAGCATAATTTAAAATTTTTCGGAGTTTTGCTGCTTTAGCTATTGTGCTTCCTTGGAATGCCAAGGTCTGCCCCAGGTCGTCACCACCACAGGAAATTGGAACCCTTGTGGATCAGAGGGAGATTTGCCATCATGCGACTTTGATACCAGGACGGTGGTGGATCCTGGTACTGGTTTACTCTTAACTAGGCTCCCTGATGGAAACGCCGTACTCCTTCTCAGCTTTGGAGACCCTGCCGGGAGAATGAATTCCTTCGATGTACATTGCAACCCGACACCCAGGAACACCTCCCAGCCACGATAAGGTAGTAAACCGTTGGTAGGTATCCATGAACTAAACAGCGTTAAATTGATTCACTGTCAAAAATCACCTGCTTAACAGTACGAGTAGCCACGTCGTCATCTCGATGAATAGCTAGACTTGGTAAGTGCTGTGTCGGTACCGAATAGAAACCCATTCCGAGTTGAGATGGCATCACTCTAGCATATTCATCGGGTTCCTCGTCATACGGTCTCCCCGCAGCTGAGAAAAGTTGACAATGGTCATTGGCCATGTAAGCTAAAGATTTCCAAAGCTTATAAACCAAACAAAACTTACGATCTCTTGCACCCGGTTCCGGACGACAACCTTTCTCAGCTTCTTCTTTACGCATCAGCTCTTCCTCTCTAGCGATCGCTTCGGCAATTGCCCTCTCTTCTTCCTCATTATTCTCGAATTCGAAACGATAAGGACGAGTCAGGAACCTGAGTGCTTTCCCATCGAATTATAACACTCTGTTTCAATTTTTTTTTCGACCGTTTTGCTTTCCTATTGAAGAATTTGTAGTAATGACTTTCTAAAGATGAAAAGAGACATTTTCCAATACTGAAATGAAAGTGTTTTCACCTACCTCACATTGTCGGAAACTCCTCTCCTTCTGCAGAACTCTCTGTAGCTTGTTATTCGACGCCTCGGAAACGAGAAAGTAAACTGAAAATATATTAATTTTCTAAGACTTACACGGAATACTTATTAACTAGTCCCCAGAGAAATTTGTAAAAACCCTGATATTAGCACCATGCTAGTCCGCAGCTCCCAAAATGGATACCTCTTCATAATCATGCATAGTTCCTCGAGCCAATGGTGGACGATGAACTCATATGGAATACGTCGAGGCACATTGAACAATGAACATGGCAAAAACCCTTGATTTCGGAGATCCTTATACATATAGATCCTTATAGGTGCTTTAGCTCCAGCCAGATAAACAACCTTACAAACATTACGTCTTAGAAATAAACCTCATTGAAACCCCTACATGAAGAACTCACTACTTCAATAATGCGACACACTTACCTATTTTTCACTGGTTTGCGAGCCTCGGCACAATTTCGGATCTTTCTGAGTTTCGCTGCTGTAGCTATTGTGGCTCACTGCAGTCCCGAGGTCAGCCTAGTCAGTTTGCCCTACGTCGTCATCACCACAGGAAGTCGCCGTCCATGTCGATCAGAGGGAAATTTGCCACCTTGAGACTAGTTTGATACTATGATGATGGTGGATGCGTATTCGTTCGCTCTTAAGTGGGTGTCCTAGAGGATAGCAGAGCTCCTTGTCAGCTTCGGAGACCCTGCTGGAGATGAACCCCCCAACACTGTCAATCGCACCTCGTTACCCAGGAACACCTCCCAGCCATGATGAGGCGGCAAATCACTAACCTTGAGTATATTGAAAATCAGTATAGACTTATAGCAAAGCCTGTCCAAGCCCTATTTAAGTTATACTTAACGGCACCCAACGGTATATAGCAATACTTTTGCCTTTGCTTGTTGTACTGTACTGATCGTGTGAGGCAAAAATGCTACGAATATTTATTGTAGGAGAGTTATTGAGGTCCGTAAAGCATTTCAAAACGTACAACGTCATTAAGAGAATTTCATGAAGAAACAAAAAAAGAACTGTCGCATAAAAATTTTTCAGCGGTTGTAAAGGGAAACTGAAACACTCTTCTAGTATTAAAAATGACCGGACATAAACTATGATGCTAGAAGGCCAAATGGCGTCACACGATCAGAACAACAAACAAACATCTCGCATGAAAACAGTGAAATGAAGAGGGGAAATAACTACTGATGGATGTGAGAAGACAAACAATAGTCATAAGAATAAATCACTTTTGTGATATACAACTCTCGTGACACCTCGTCATAACGCCGAAGAAATCAGAGCTAAGACTTCACAGAAATGTTTTTAATAGATTGCATAATTGCATTCGCTACAAGCCGGTTGGGGACGGACTTGACCACATTCTGGGACCCATAGTTTGACCAAACGCTACTTCAGATTCATGACAAATGTGTGTGAGTAGTACGATCTTCAATTTCGCCACCGTCGATAACATAACCGTCATTATCAAGGAAGATCTCCTCATGATCATTAGTGTCAACAGACGTTGGCGCTAGCACAACTCTCGATGGCGGCGTTGTAACCACATTTTTTACGTAGTATACCCGATGAGAATTCTGAACAGTACGGACCATGATATGAAGCAGTATCCACAATACATTGACTCAAGCAAAGCATGAATAAACTGTGTGTGTAGACGTAACCAAAAACAAAAACTGCAACTGCCAATAAATAAAATTAATCGAGAAAATCAAATTGCTAACATGATTTGGTTGAATTCCTTGGCTGGCCATCATGGAACCACGAGCCGTTGATATCTTACGGATAGTGGAGTTATGACCGTACCTCAAAAAATACTTTTGAATACACTAGACGAAAGGGTAGAAAAACGTACTGGTCACAAAACAGTGCTTAAAACAGAAGAATTACTTACTAATTCCTCTAACAACTCGTTTAAGACCGCATTTACACTCAAATACAGAAACTTGCTCAGACTAACCCGCTAGATACAGAGGTTCTCACCGCAGCAGTGTGAACTTGTTCAGTGTACGACACATTTTCCTAAAGTTAGTGATCTCTTAGCAGTGTTGCAAAGACTCATGATATCTTTACATTCTCATTTACTCGCCCCTGTCTTGTCATCAACATACGGCACTTGCTCATAGCTTTCGGCCGGTCGTATAACTTGCCTTCGAACCTTTAAAAGCTTTCCTTTAGAATACCGCTTTTCCATTCAATTAGATAGACACACACACAGAGAATATTTCGGAAGTTCCCACTTGACCAGCAAACTTACTAGTCCTGATGACATAACATCTGCTCCAGACACAGCTTTTTCAACCGCCATTCTTTTCATGAAAGGATCTACGGGTTGGCTGAAGCCTGTTCGCATTGGTCGCGTCTCAGTACGAGTAGGTATGATGACTCGTGCAGGCGTAGACTGAGCTCGGTTTTCCCCCTAACAACAAACCATACTGGATGAGATAGCAAATATAGTCCAATGAATAAATCAACAATAACAAGAAAAGAAAGAAAGATATAACAGAAAACAACTCACCGCTATTTGCGCTGGTCTTGCGCCACGAATCGTTCGCACCGTTTGTGGAGCTCTCGCTCTCATCATGGTTACTTGTCTATGAAACACCAGCTTTATTTTCGTAACAAAAAAACATAACGAGAATGTCGAAAATTTGATATAATCTACAGCTTCAAATGCAATGAAGTCACTAAGCGAATAATGAAAAAATATGGCGATTAACATACGGTGATGGTAGCGGTTCGTCAGAATGTCGGATTTGGCGCAAAAACTGTGTGGTTCCATCCGAACGACGTACCATAAGAAGCTTCCCAGCACGTGACGGTACAGAAACAGCAGATGGCCGCTAAAACACGATAAAACATGCATGATCGGAAATAAATGAAACCTAAAAAACCGGACCGGGACTCCAGCAGCAGAACGAACAACTCCAGGTCGAGGTGTTGATGGCAACACTTGAGTTACACTACGTGCTCCATGAGAGACATTGACATCTTCATACCTAATATATACATATACTTAATAAATAAAGGATAAAACCCTCGCCGTTGACCAATTCCTCGAAAATGCGCACCTCATTCAATTTCATTAAGCATCGTTTGGAGGTGACTGAATGGATACCTGGCATTTACAATGACTCGCGTTAGTTTGTCGATGTATCGAGCCCATTCTAATATCCTCTCAGGCAAGTCTGGTAGCAATTTGCCGACCCCGGAGGGATGGAAGGTTTGGTAAGCCTTGCGCGCGGCAATCGACCCCATGTGTATTGCCGTGCGCTGCACCACACGCGCTACTGTTGAGTTCCTTTTGTGGTTGCTCTAGCGATGATCCACCTGCAGGTTCACCTGCAGACACCTTGTTACGAATGTTGCCTGGTCCAAGCCACTTCGACTGAACTGTTTCCCGCCATATCGCGACCCGAAAGCCTCAATACAGTAGTCTGCATTCCTTACGAGACAGCTCAGCCACGGACAGCGACGGGCGTTGTGTACAAATGGCGGTGACGTAACCAGCGTGAGCTGATGACTCACACTTACTAGGAGTTCCTCCTACATACTACGAGTATGTAGTATAAGCATGTATATATACACATAGTCAATTTGGAAAAAAGTGATCAGACAGAGAAACAAGGTACATATATGCAATCATTCTGTACTTGGGATTAAAAAAAGCGATGAAAGTCGAGACTTCGTAATTCACACCTTTGTACTGCTGGTGGGCCGCCGACGTCTGAATCATTTCTGAACACTTGTCGAGTGGAGATCAGGCATCGTGATGACGTCTCATTATCACAATCAGTAGTAACGATAGTCTCTTCAGCGCCAAGTGGAACGACGCCTTCTTCTATGAGATCCACATGCTCCATGCCGTCCCCAACCGGCTAAACTTCAAATATCAATGGCCAATAACAGAAAAGGATATTTTTTATGAAAACGAAGGAAGTTTCGTAAAAGAAACCCTCCACACAACGCATAGCAAGCAAAGAAGAAGAGATGACGCCGCGAGTGCGTCACGCCAGTACGCGTCTCTGCCAATCAATCCCATTAGAGCGCGTTAACCGAAAATTTCTTAGTACAATGGTTTTTTTTAAAATTTCTGTGTTAAGGTTAAAAGACCGTTAAATGTAACGTATTAACACTTTCTCCATTCCCTCTTTCATCTCAGTCACCGTTAGCAGCTAAAAAAGAATAAAGCTCTCGACGTTGATCAATTACTGAGAGATGCGCCTTGCATTCGACTTCATTAAGCATCGTTGGAGGTGACTGAATGCATATCTGGCCTTTACAATGTCTAAAGATGGCCTACCGATGTATTGAGCCAGTGCTGCTATCTTCCCAGACAAATCTGGCACCAATTTGCCGACACCGGAGGAATGAAAGGCTTGGTAGTACGGGGGCGCGGTGGTCGATCCCATGTGCATAGCAGGGCGCCTCTGACCACTGCGCTACGCGTGCGCAGTTAGGAGATAGGAATATATTTTTTGAATTGGATGCGCAGTTCTATTCTACCCACTCCACTACAAAGAATGCTAGTTTTCCGTTTAAGTCCTTTCCCCACGTACCTAAATAATACTGTTTTGAAAGTTCCAGTTATGAACTTCAAATCATTTAGTGCACAAAAGGAGAAACTGCAGCTGCAAAACCGTTTCATACAACGTCGTCGTCTTACTCGATATGTAGTAAATAAATACTGAAGCTACACTCCTCCACTTTTTATCTACTGCCTATTATTATTTCTTACGGCAAGATATAATGCAACCACTATGATGCTGAGATATTTACAAAACCTGAACCAGAGGCCAGATTCAAACCTGAGTTGGTCCCCAGGAAGGGTAATCGCTGAAAAAAGTAAAACATTGTGATTTCGATTACAACCTCAGCTTAATTAGGTTTAATGCCAATATGCGCTCTCACGTCATTCCCGTTTACGGAGTAACTGATGACACCACTAGGTAGAAAAATGGTTGAGAGGAATGCAAAGCAACGGTCTCAATGGTGAAGCGGGTAACATGTGAACCTCTGGAAAAGGTAATCGCGGGTTCGAATCTTATTTAGGATCCAAGTTTTGCAAGCATCTCAGCATCATAGCGAATATCGAAGTGTCGATATTAGTTTGAACGCTGTTGTTCTTCACATGACGCCTATTTCAAGGATTTCACACTAATTGTAAGGTGAAACACAACTTTCTGTATAACTCTATAAGTGTTTAGGTAACTAACTAATAACAGTAAATAGTAAATGGTTAGGTTAAAATAAACATAGCTGTCGAAAGACGTTGACTGCGAACAGCGATAAACGGCGGAGCATGTCAGTAAAACATATGCTTTAGCACAGAGTACTATCCTCAAGTTATAACTACAATATCCCATTCTTTCTAAAGGTCCAAAGGCATGAGAAGGTCTTAAGCTGACGTGCGTCTTAAACGTAAAGTTCTTGCATTCATCTCGTTAGATCTTCCTTTATCACATTCTGGGACTTCGATCAATTTTCGAAAATGTAGGGCTACAGCTAAAATTTTTGTGTTTCGGTTCGGAATACCCCTTTGAGTAGAAAGGTCGCAGTACTCTGCTAATTAACAACCGTCTCTACATCAGTCTTTCTACAGAAAGCAAATAATTGGCTCAAGACTCATAGAGATAAACAATTTCATTCTAACAACCACTTTTCTAAAACTGTAACGTTAGAGAGTAAATTTTTTCAGCCACGTCATCTACTATTAGGAACCCAACAATGTTTCAAAAGTCTCACCACAGTTTCACGACCTCCTCCACGAACTGTGTCGACTTGGTATGAACGGTCCCGCAAAGAACGAGTAGCTGGAGGGACCGTTCGGAATGTTTGGTTCGAATCCATTCTTGATACCAATCGTTGGCGTTTCGCCGCCCGTGGCTCCCAGCCAGTAAGCTCGGCGCCTTCACTGTTTGTGCTGTTAACAGTTTCGCTGTCGTCCACATCATCATCATCAAAACCATAGTATTCATAATCCTGACAAGCAGACGAATTACGTATAGTACAGTCCTAGAAAGTGTTTTGAAACGCAGAATTGTTGCCTTAATTTATTATATACCCAACTGACGAACCTGTAAATATGTTGGCTTACGTTTTCTTTCTGTTGTAAAAATGGGAGCACAGTGTAGTACTGACGCGGATGCGGAAGAAGATCTGGAAGATGGGTAACGTAGGCGACCCTGCGCAGCTACCACATCCCGAGAACTTAAGACATTTTGAGCAGAACTGGTAGACTCGTCACCAGAAGCTGCTGAAATTTCACTTACACCATAGAATAATTAAGCAAAGACGTTTTAAAATTACTAATTTTAAAATGATTCAAAATTTACGAAGAGAGCTGGTCGCTGAACGTGCAGAATGAGTTCTTTGCATTTGGGATAGTTGTTTATTGCCACCAACTGGTCGACTATTGTAAGCTTTCCAGTAATCACTGAACAATCAAAGATTATAGATATTAATAAAAGTTATAAAAGTACACTGGAAAATCAATAAACACACTAAATCTCGTATAGCTTAAGATCCACTCCATCGACCCATTCTTCTTTAATGTGACTAATTCGACGAACATTGGATGACTGAACAGTTTTCCTTCGTCTCATACCTAAATCACTGATTTTCCCAACTACAGAAACATAGCTGTTAAGTATAACAACTTTTTCTTCGGTCCCGCTCATTGCTAGTCCACGACAAATCATCCTCTTCTTCAACATTATTATCGTCGTCCAGTGGAAGCACTTCAATTGATATCCGATACCTAGATGCTAATTTACCTATACCTAATTTAAGGATGCTACATTAGGAAGATTAGCAAAAGAAAGAATACGGCATCAATATAGTGGTCTGGCACCTTTCATAAATACATGGTGGTCCATATTCCTTATGGAGCGAAATCCAACGACGTTCATCGCGATCAGGAAAATGAAGTACGAAGCGTCTGTCAGGATCCTTAAACATTACGTTTCGAATCCTACAGAACATAACTTTCGCATTTGCACAAGTTAAAGAACGCAATACTATTCACCAAACTGTTATCAACCGGAAGCAGAGAAAGGACCAAATTAGGTGCAATGCTGAAAGTGGTGAAGTCTAGTGTCTTCTGCAAACTGTCCTTTATGATCTTCATAGCTCACCGGATCGCTTATTTCAAATTCTCAAGCAGCTCATTATGTCGAATTCTGAGGCCAGATACACAGTCCAGTATTCAGAGATTGTCGTTTCGTTGGACAAATCTTTTCGTTATTAACATTTCCTTAAGTTAACCTATAGGCCAATTAAGATGCCACTCGTACTTCGGTTTATAGAGCCGCTAGTGCAGAATGTTCATTCTGCCTGAAAGAAGATGAACGTGGTAGTCGAGAAGTATAGATCGCAGAAGACCTTCTCTGTCTATGTGGATATAGTGATTGCTCCGCTTAGAAGTTAACGATCAGCCAGTTTCGTCCTACAATTAAGACATTTATTGGTTATTTTAAAACTCTCGGCTTCCAATGGTATTCTTCGTCCATGTCGTCTTTAATGTTGTCTTTCCAAAATCTGACCATATAGGAAAGATCACAAATTATGGGAATCTTGAGGTTATAGCTTCTATTAAAGACGGAGAGATAAACTTTATTATGACACTTCCCACTTGGACACGCCCATATCCGAAGTGAAGTCATGAGTTGTTGCTCTTGCCGGTATAATGAACATGAACTCATTCTCATGATGCTCTTCACATCCTAGTTTGATAAGTCTCATAGATTCCTTATACATAATTTTCCAAGCTCTCCTGTACGTTCTGGTTACTGTCTGTAAATTTATTGTTAGGCTGTCCAAGAGTAGGCGACAGGGATCACTGTCCGTGACCACGGACCGCTTTCAGTGCAATTCCTAATTATCTGACTGCAAGCTGTTGACAAAGTATGCCTATACCTATACATTTACCCACATTTGGAAGATTCAATGCATACAGCAGCGACAGGATGTCCATACCTTGACAGAAGTGTGTCACAATGCATATACGTCGTTGTTGTTGGTCTATGTTTAACCTATTACTCGCCAGAGAGGGGCTCGTTTAGCACAGTGGTTAAGGGTGCCCTGCAATAAATACGCAGTCTTTGGTTCGACCTCGCACCCCGGGCACACCAAGCCCTCTACCCCTCCGGAGTCGGAAAAGTGTTACCAGATTTCTCTGGTGGAATAGCAGCACTGATAGACTTCGGTAGGAGTAGAGAAAGTCATTGAATTCATTAGATACACATTTAATCACCTCCAACGATGCTTGCCTAATTCATCCCTCAATGAATCATCAGCGAATGGCAGATCTCTCAAATATTAACTAATGCTGAGAGCCTTAACCCTTCTTCATTAATCGCCATTTGAAGTGCTTCAAACTCTTGCAATATAGTCTACTCGAGATTCTCCACGTGAGTCGAACACCAAACATTTCTCGATTTTACATATGTGGTCTTCACATCTGTACAGATCTCAGAACTTGCATTTGATTTGTTTCCTTGTATGCATTACCTACGAAGTTACAATTAAAAACGTTCGTACAAGGGGTTAACTATAAGAAGATGAGACTGACTTCGTTGTACGATAGACACACTAATAAGCATTACTGTCTCCCATCAACTGCTTCCGGGTTAATTTCCATGGTAATCGAATTATAAAAAGGCAATATGAGAACTTTTCCACTAGGTGGAAAAAAGAACGCGAACAATTGTACTAACATCATCTTCAGGTTTCATATCCAGCCATCGCACCGATGCCCACAAAATTCGCAGCTGTAGAGCTACAGATTGCAATGATGTGCAATTCGCAGTTAGCCACCTATAATAACAAAAATGTTATTAAACACGGGTACCGCATTGACGATCTGGTCTACTACACCTCCAACATAAGTCGAAACAAGGACGAGGTGCCGGATAATTCCAATACTGCAAATTGCCTTTAGCTGTCGACGAGAAGCTAGGTACATAAATAGCCTTACGACCGCCACTCTTTGCCAATCGGCGCAATGTCCTTAACTACAAGATTAAAGCAACAGCGTGAGTCACGCAATGATGGCATTTTCTCTCCAAACTCACACTTGAGGAATCACAAAAATGCTAGTACGTCTCGATCCTCGCGAGACAAATCTGTGTACTTCTGGCAAAGGCCAAGGTAGGTCCTCTCCCAACACACCTGTACGAGGTGTAGTGGTTCTAGATTGATCGTATGCCTTGACTACTCCCGAAGTATCCACTGATAGGGCTAAAAATTCTAATAAATCCCACATGCGATTAGCAAGAAAAAAAACTTCTAAGCATGAACTAACTCTCCAGCTCGTCCAAAGATGAGGACAAGTTAAGCATTCCATCAGAGTTCGATTTCTTTCTTCGACAATTTTGTGAATAACAAGGTTGATATCCAGCTGTTGTATCACTTGAACAAACGGACGTTAGTGGTACACTAGTTATACTGCACAGGAAAACAAAACAACTTAATTTGGAAGAAGCAAATATACCTCATCACAGCACCTGGGCGACAACTAGGAGAATAGCATACGTCGCTTTTTTGATGCCTGCATCCTATCTCTTGCGCTAAGCGCCACTCTTTTAGACGAGAGACTATCGTCTCAATATGTGTACTCTTTCTGTTCTTAACCTCCTCCTGGGAAATCGCTCTTTACTTCTAACTAACAGTAATGGCGATTTGTACGATAGAATTACCTCTTCGATGGATATACTATGCAGCAACTCTCCAGAACCATCTGATGGAAAACGAATATCTCTAACTAAGGTCCGTGATATCCATATCCAACCACCTAACTCGCCTCGACCAAAGAGACGATACTTCTCGTCCTGTTGCAGAAAATAACATAGTCACCCAGAATGACACCAACGACAAGGGTTCAGATATTAACTAAAAATGACAAAAAGAGAATCGTGTTATAATAAGATAAACATACACGCATTCTCGTCAACTCCCGACTGATTCCGTGTGCTAATTTCGTATGTTTAACAACAATGATATCTTCATCGAACACATCGACAGCTTCCTGTGAGCAACAACAAGCGTTAAGAAATAGTAGGCCATACTTTAGCACAACAAAGGATTACTCTTTCGTCCTTCTTTCTACGTTGTGCTTCCTTCATCAAACGCTCTCGATCCTCCACCGTAGTGCGTGTAAGCCTTGTGTGTCCGAGATTATTCCACCACTGTGGCAGAAACAATGTGCGTCGCATACCACACTCCAAACGAAGAAGAAGATCTCGTAACTTCCTCCATGATGTTGTTGGAGATTCTAACTCCTTAAACTAGCCTTTAAAATTTTTAAAATATTTTAATATTAACCACTGGTAAAGAAATATAAACCAATCCTTTAAAACTCAATTTATTAATGGATTAAACGAATTTCAAACCTTTTTAAAAGAAGGCAACACATCACGCCATTTCCGCTGCATTAGGTCAATAGGAATTTTTCTTAGCAACTTTCCGATTGTCCAAGCAATATACAGGGTTTGGAGTCTTTCGCTGCCGTACAAATTATGCCCCTTTGCTATCGACCACTGCAATTAGAAGTTTCGACTAACCAGATACCAATGAAAAATATAAAAATTGTATGAAGTGAATATAAAGTACGAATCATTATTATCAAAAACGCGTCCTAAACAAAAAAAAATTCACAAAAGAGATGGACAAAAAATTCCACAAAAGAAATGTTTGCGCAGAAAGGAGAAGAAAGGAAATGAACTATATATGAATATAACTTCGAACTTTTCTAAGACATCTACATTATGACGAGTTATATTACAGTATATTGGTGTATCCACTCAACGGTTTATCGCCTCACCTTGGCTGGGAGGTGTTCCTGAATGACGGGTTGCGATGTACAGGGGGATTCACCACTTCGGCCCGACATCCCACGCTGAGAAGTCCGACGTTTCCATTAAGAAGCTAAGGTAAGAGCAAACCAATATCAGGATCCACCACCGTGTTGGTATCAAAGTCACATGGTGGCAAATCACCCATTGCTCCAGAAGGGCGGCGATTGCCTGTGGTGGTGATAACGATGGGCAGATTTTGGCTAGACTGACTGAGGTCGGGATTCTACGGAAACACGATGACTAAACTAGTAAAACTTCGAAACGATGGAAATTATGACGTATCCAGTACAACCAGTGAAGATGGGTCATCCAAGTATTTAAATATATTAATGTATCTCACATATGTTTTAAATTATTCCCAATGGGAAAAAAATTTCAAAAAAGTTTCCTCAAACGTTCTGGAGGTGGTGAAAAAGTATGCTTTGTCCCGCCTCAACGCAAGACAAAATTAAGCTTCCTTACGAATACCTTCATCTTTTCAATGTATTTAACAATAATACCACAACAGTCCTATACCGTTGTTAAATGAATGCCGCTGAATACTTATCACTTACTTAGCTGATACTTGAACGGCCCATCCGCACTGTTTTTGCGGGCTCCAGCATAACCACTATTTTTCGGGGATTTGCTGGTTAAGCCATTGTGGTTCCCCGGAGTCACGAGATCCTGGCCAAAGTCTTCCCCAGGTCGTCACCACCACAAGGAGTCGCTACTCTTGTAGAGCAGAGGGATATTTGCCACCATGCGACTTTGATACCAGGACGGTGGTGGATCCTGGTATTGGTTTACTTTTAGCTGGGCTTCTTGATGGAAACGCCGCCGGACTCCTCAGCTTGGGAGTCCTCGCCTGGGAGAATCTATGCCCCCGGTGTACATCGCAGTCCGGCACCCAGGAACACCTCCTAGCCAAAATGAGGCGGTAAACCGTTGTGAGGATACTTGTCACATTATAGCTTAATATCGTTGCTGCGGAGAAAGTAACCTTAATTCTACCTCGAAAGCCCATTCTCCATCCTCCATCAAGGAAAATTTTGAACACAAATATTTCTTCTTGTCAATCATCTTCTTTCTCGTGACTGGATGCTCGCCATACTTATGTTCGACGTAAAAGTTCGTGTATTTACTACAATAAGTGTAATTTTAACATTGTAAAACTTACTAATTGTTCAACTCACCTGAATGTTGTATCATCAGACGGACAGCCCATACGAAAAAATTTTGAAGGGCAATCTTCACTTTCCGCCGACTTAAAATGAAGCAACTCATTTTCTAAAACAAATCCTACCAGAGGTTGGCCACTCAATTAGCTGTTGAAATCTTAATATAAAGCGTATAATTTCCGTGATCAATTAGAGTACTAGGAACCGTACTTTTCTTTATGGCTACGAAATCCAGTGTTTCTTTGAGGACCTAACAAGTATTAACATTTAGGGTCCAACGTGAGTTGACTTCCACCCACATGATGAGAAAATAACGGATTTCAATTTTAAACGAATTTCTCCCACCTCAAGATAAACTTTATCAATTGCAATAAGAAGTATTGAAATCTACAAATATTTTCCTAGAGGATAAAACCTCGCTTGTTTTAGCACAATAAAATACTAGTTTTCTTGGACTCACAAAACACATCTACAATTTTCCTTCCGCTGAGGACCCTATTTCGGAAACGAAAACGGGTGAGCTAGGGCTACTTCATTCATTATAAATTGATGATACCCCAAAATGTGTTCCAGACGTTTACAGCAAACGGGATTTCGTTTCCAACTTCAAAAGTTCAAAACTCGCACCCATTTAGTTTAAAAATTTCAATTCTGAACAACTTTAAAAGTCAATAGTACTCGTTGAGTCAATTCTCCTTATGATTTTGGAGATAAACGGGCTACGGTGTTCCCACGTGGATTGGAGAAGAATATTTGGGCCGGGTTGAACTAGCACCTTTCCGCCGACCGATGGCATCACTAAACACTGCGCTATCCCCGCCCCTAATAAGTCCAATAATAATTTCGAAAAGCCATAATTACTCTTGAAAAGATAGGACAAACTCTGTCCTATTATCCAATCGCGTTCCCAACCCAGCTATTGACGAATTACTATCAGTTTGTGAAGAACCAACTAGGGACTCCAAGTGTTAATGAAATTTTAACTGTGTAGTTGCAATAAAGTGAAATGCAAACTGCGCTTTTATTTCCAAGAAAAAACAAAATATTCTAGAATTGAATGTGCAAATCGCTCGACAGACATACCATCCACGTTACCGCTCCAAAAGTTGTTTACAAGATTTCCGTTACAAAATCCTAACATTGTTTTGAAACAGTCAATCAGGTTCGAAAAAGGCTTCTGAAAATAAAAACTCCTTGTAGAACATCCGGAAAAATACAAAGCATGAAAAGAATACTTCCTCCAGTGTTGAATCTTCTTTGGACTCCCGAGCGCTCACTGTCCCCCCGTTGCTCTCCGTAGCCAAGATGTGTGCCATCAAACGCACTAAAAGTTCACAGTATAATGTGCATTTACTGCTAAATGAAATATAACAATAAACAACACACTAAGAAAATTCTAAGAAATTTTAACTGTTATTTTGTTGCAGGTATACTTCAGGTGGTAGGGGTTTCGAGGCATTGTAATTCTCACGATACAGAGCATCTCTCCGGTCCGACGATAGCTCCAGAGTCACCGACATCTGCATAACATCATATGACATAAAGGTCGAATGAATTGCTAAACAATGTTCCACCTGTTCTAGTATATCGCTTAGTCTTTCCAAGAACACATTACACAAACTGAATTCAAAGTAGGACGGGTCCATACGTTTAACAAGCTGATAAAACTGAGGTGCAGTAGAATAGTATCGTAAGTCTGATTCATCAATATTATGTCTGAAAAACATGAACATCCTTGAGTGATGGAAGCACAATGAGAAAGATGTTTCGATTTTTAAAAAATGTAGGATAAACAAAGTATAAAGCTCTCGCCGTTGATCAATCGCTGAGCGACATGCCATGCATTCACTTCACTAAGCATCGTTGGAGGTAACTGAATGCATATCTGGCCTTTATAATGACTCGCGATGCTCTACCGGTGTATCGGGTCAGTGTTGTTATTTTCCCAGAAAAGTCCGACACCAATTTTCCGACCCCGGAAGAATGGTTTGGTGTGTCTGGGAGCCGGGATCGATCCTCTGTGTATTGCGGGTCGCTCCGAATACTGCGCTACACGCGCCCCAAAAGAAGAAGAGCACTATAACATCCTCCGAAGACAAGTCTGTTAGTAGATTCTGCTGCACGACAACTTCAGCTTAGTAGCACACATTCGATTTTCTCACGAATTAGCGCGATTACAAATATGCTCGTACTGGTGATAAATTGCTAAGGTACAATGGAGAGGCTATCGAAAGGTTAACATAATCACTGGTTGCTTTATTGGATAATAAAGACAACACATAAAAAATAGTTGTTTGGATCGGTCTCTATAGACGATTAATAAGGGGAAATTCTTCAAGTACTGTACTTATTAAAACTTATAGACGCTCAGAAATAACGAAATACTAGCGAAATGCAAACCGTTGATGGTTTAACAGAGCATAAGTCAGCCAAATGCAGAATACAAGAAGCTGTCTTAGACCGACCGATATCTAACAGTTATGAAAAAAGGTTACGCCATAGACTCACACAAATATTCTTCTCACGACAAACCAATAAAATCTGCCATGACGATCTCTGCCAATAGGTTCCATGCGCAATGGTTGTTTGGATAAGCATTCGCTCAGCGGTAAACAATCTTGTACTCCCCTCACCTAGATTACATATATACGCAGGTGCGTGGCACACACCAAAGATTAGCCGAGAACATAAACCTCACCTTGTTCTTTTCACACAGTTCACAAAGCCACTCAGGGGATTTCGACTCAAGCTTAACACAGGCCGGATGAAAAACCGCTTCACATATGTCACACATGAGCAGCTCACCGCCTTTATTGCAGGAACGACAAGTCTCTTCATGCTAAACACTTACTCATGGTCGATTCAATCAACCTAGATTACTTCGAAATAATAGGTACTTCACGTAAGGTTACCTCCATTCGTCCGCTGTTTGCCACAATCACTTTTTTATATTCGTTAGAATAAAGGAAACGATTACTGAGAAATGTTATAAGTACTAATCGAGCAGAAAACTCGACAAATGGATAGTTAGAAGTATTGACGGCCTCCATAACCTCAGGTGGAACACTTGGATCACAAGAAAGGTACTGTCTGAGCACCTGCAAAGTACTAAATCAGAACCATCTCTTTAAACGTCTAACGTCGTACAAAAACTGTGAAAAGAGAAGGACTAAAACTTCAAAAACTTCACTCATAAGAACAAAAACAGTTATATCATAAAAAGAACAAGAAACCTCAGCGTAAGTCATAGGCTCCAAACAAGCAGTGACAATATTATATGCATTATTAGTGTCATTACCAGAAAAGTGAACCTAAAGTGAAATATACTAAACAAATGGACCAATCACACATACTGAAGTGACGATATGAATACCTAAGGCGTAAAAGAAGAGACTTTCATTCAAACAAAAGTATAAACTCACTTGCTCCTCGTCATCATTTTTAAAGCTCATTCTAAGGAGAACGATGTGAATTTCGGATAACAAACAGGAATTATCCGGAGAGGATAGCGCAGCACAGAAATCTTCAAAAAGAAATGGTGACAACCGCAAAGTGCGCCAGTAACTGCGCAAAAGTTCATAAAGCTGAAAAAAGGAGGGTTGAAAATCATCAGCGGATCTAAACAGGGTTAGGCGAACATAGTGCCAGTCATGGAACACCCTTAGTTAATTAGCGCCGAACTCCCACCTCATAGTTTTAAGCATGAACACATGCTTTTGCTCAGAGCGAACTTTATTGAAGTAAACCTTAACCTTTGACGTTAATGTTGACACCCCTTAACCTCTGCCAACAAAATTCACTGGTTCCGTCACGAATAAAACTTAGGATCCATCTTATTTTATAGATAACATAGCAATTTTTCTCCCTTTCCTTGTTTATTTGTTAAATTGACGTGTTGTGTCTTGAACAGCAAAAGGAAAAAGCAGGATTTCTTTGACCTGGACATTTCTTCGCCGCCACAACTCTCAACGATATCTGTTTTTGCGCACATATCAAAATTACTTGATCCATGTCTTTAGAGTGATAATACGAAGGTCCACCTATAGTTCCCACGGTGGACGTTCCACTAACTTCGTCACTAATCGAATAATTCTCGATATTCTTGCTGAGCTAGCACAAGGTGTTCCCTTTGCTCCCTATTTCGGTATAGCTGACGTTTCGGCGGTATCGTCTTAAGCTATCCTTTAAGACTCTTAAGAAAGCGATACTGCCGAAATGGCAGTTTTACCTGAATAAAGTAACACTTCACGTTCGCTCAACAAGAATATCGAGAAATATTCCATCGGTAAGTTTGTGAAGTTCATAAGTACTCCAGTCATGGGAAGATTAACCGTTGCCATTGAAAATTCCCTCACGATCGACAATGTTTAAGTTATGTTAGTTATTAGTGTTATGATAAATCGAATAGTTGAAACAATGTTTTTAAACGATACAAAGGAAAAATTAATTTACCTCTAAGGTATCGAATAAGTACTCGTTAGGTATAGGGATGTCTTTACTGCTTTCAGGTAGTTCAAGCGGAGGTATTTCTTCTGTTGACAGATCTATCCAAGGCAAATGAGAACATTCAGGCTGGAAAAAAGTATAGCTGAATACTCCAGGCACTCAGCATTGCCAAGGCCCTCTACATAAAATAATTCAAAAAAAATTTCTATGGAAAAATGAAGGCAATTTAATCTAAAACCGAAAACAATCTAGCTGAGGTAGAACCATGTAATCGTATTTATCGTTTATTTGCCAAATACAATGAAATAACTAAATAATATGAAGAACACTCTCCCCCATAAGATAGCCGATTGAGTCCGCTCGTTCGTTAACAGACCGTGTCGTGTCCGTTAACAAATAGGTAAGTAAACCAAGACAGACAGTCACAAATGATAGGCTCCCTGTCTCTCTCCGAGCCAGATAGACTTATCCCCTTGTAAACGTATAACGATATCTCCTGCTGGATACTCTTAGGCCCATTCGGATTGCTCGTGCATGTCTAATCAATGAAAAGCCTATAATCGCGTAGTTGAGAAATAGGTAGAGAGCATCGACGTTCTACAAAAGTTCTACTTCTATAACAGAAAAGACAGAAAAGTTTTTCATTAGCACTCCGAATAAAAACAGCAAAACTGAGTTTCTTAAACGAAAACTCCGATTCCTTTTGCGTTCTTCGAGCAAAGGAAGTTCAGCATGAACTTTTTGTGCACAACAGGGCTGAATTAGGACTTTAATGGAGATAGCTTTAACCACTCAAAATGTAACGGAATATCGGCACGTGAGAATTACACAGTAACAAACTTTGGTAGTGAGAGTACAAAAATATAGTAAACCCACTGAGTCTTCGTCGGTGCAGTTAAACGAAGCATCATTCATAATACAGTCATCAAGCTCATCTTCGAGAAACACTTGGGACTCTGAACAAAAACTGTATCCGACACAATTATTTTCATGACCAACTGTTGTTTAAAAACGGGCAAACGTAAGATACATTTGTTTAACTCGTTGAACTTACACGAGGTTGAAATAGGCTTTATTCGGCTAACAACTCGACATTTTCGTCTTCAATAGAGCTGATGATCCGAGTTAATAGTCCGCAGTCTCTCGTCATGCCGACTTGGTGTCGCCGTCTTCGCACGAAGCCGACTCCTACTGTCGAACATTTGAGCAGCTTATTTGAAAGGTGTTTCACTGGAGAAGATCCGACTCGATACGACGACGAAAACACCGAATGGATAGTACAAACAACTGTGGATATTGACTCAGGTAAGCGGCTCTCAGAAACACGAAGACGTCGGAACGTTAGCCGAATAAAGCTTATTTATCAACCTCGTGTAAGCCTAATAATTTAAACATTTGTTGGCTTACCGCAATGAGGTTAAAGAAAAGTCGGTTTTGAAATACTGTAAGCTACATTGAATAAAAAGAAAAAATACGAACGTGATGATCGCAGCAAATACTCCTCCTCACTCGACGAAGACTCCGATTCAGAAGAAGAAACATAATCGTACGCATGATCTTCACCGTCGTCTACTTCCCATGGTTTCGAGTGTTTTGCGCCTTTACTACCTTTTCCTTTCGTTGCTGATCTGAACGTTACAGAAATCCGGCGAAAGATCAAACGTTAGATTGCTGTGCACTGCATCCTAAGGTTTTTACAAAAACAACAATATCAATGAATTAATTAGAGAAATCAATAGACACATTTCAAACGATTTTAAATAGCCAGATAAGATTTTGTAAGGTCAGCAAGAGCTTCCAGTTTAGTTTTCCATGTACAAAAAGGAGTAAGCATTAATAAGAATAGAAATGATTGTAATAATAGAGCTGGTGACAATGACAATGACAGGAACAGTAATAGTAATGACAGTAATGATGATTGTAACGACAATAACAACAATAGTAAACAGTGACACACTTTAAAAGATTTCAGTTAGCTAGGTAGGATTCACCTCCCAATGGTTTAGCACCTCATATCGTGGCTGGGAGGTTTTCCTGAGTGTCGGGCTACGATGTACAGCGGGAGATTCATCCCCGCCAGGGTCTCCCAAGCTGAAGAGGAGTCCGGCGTTCGCATCAGGAATCCCAGCTAAGAATAAATCAATACCAAGATCCACCACCGTCCTGGTACTAAACTAATCGTATGCTGGAAAATTTTCCTTTAAACCATAAGGGTGGTGATACCCGGGGTGGTGACGACCTGTGATTGATTTTGGCCAGGCAGACCTCTAGAATCCAGGGAACCACAATGGGTAAACCATCAAAACTCTGAAAAAGTGGAAATTTTGCTGGGGCCCGCACAACCAGTGAGGACGGCCCATTCAAGTATCAAGTTCAAGCAAAATAAGATCTTGTAAAGTAACAACAGCCTCCGGTTCTGTTTTTAATAAACAAAAAAGTAGAGTAAATCCAAAAGTGTCATCGTCAGTTCTATAAAGTAAGCATTAGTAAGAATAAAAATAAACGCAATAATAGTGATGCTGATAGTAATAACAACAACAGTAATAATAATTATGGTAACACTAATAATAGTAGTGGCAATAACAAACGACGATAACAAATAGTAGGATGGCAAAGGACGAGTAATAACTCAACAACACCTTTGGAACTGGTAGTATTTAAAAGAAAGAAAAACAAGAATGAAATGATGAACTCAGATAACGTGCAGTATCAAATAGAAGCTCTCGAACCTGCTTTTTGCTTCCGATGGTACTTTAGCGATTGACTGGGATTTAGATTTTGTTCCACTCGACTTGCCACGTTTTCTGGATACCGCCCGACCCGAACTTTTCGCAGGAGTTGGCGATGGAGTGGCTTCTATAGCCTGAGCAATTGCTCTTTTCCTGAGGCTGATCCGGAGCGATGGTGGGCGCTCCGTTAGCGGAAGAATTGCTCCGGGCATCACTAACTTCAGGCAAATCACCACGAACTGTAAAGACGTGACTAAAAAGTAAGAAAAGAACAACAAGAAACGCAATCATGTGAGCGGTTTTGGACAAAGAGAAAAAAGAAGCAACGCTGGCTCACCGGATGGCATTTGCTTAACGTAAGGGTCTAGATCTTTGAAAATAAGCTTCTTTAGAAGTACATGGATAATCAAGACGATGTCTACTATCCAGAAATAATCACTCTATTCAGCTTTAACTTGTTTGTTTCATAAAAATGTTCACTTTGGAGCACAGAATTGACACTGGAGCGTGTAGCGGCGCACTCAGATCCAGAAAACCAGATGGATGGAACGCTTACTTACAATATCTGCCCTTGATTACCAGTAATATACCACGTTTTGGTTACTTAACACTTGAAAAAAAGGCGAAAAAAGAAGACTCCATTGAGATAGGCGACCCGAGAAACGCAGCCATCGGGTAGTTCTCGTTTCGTAACGGCCGCGTCGACCTGGCACACGCCTCTCTCACTGCCTGCACTCTCCCAAACTCCTTTACGTTCGGATTAGAATCGTCCTTAGCATGGCGTGAACGTTCTAAACTCAGTGAAATCCTAAAATGAGCCTCTGGCACCTTAACGTGACGTCGTAAGTCAATGACGTCATTCGAATGATTACCGTAAGACGAGTGGAGATGCTCACCAGCACGCCGCGCGGCAATCACCGTAATCGCCGTCATCGTCTCGAGACCTGCTTACCCATGGAGACCGCGAAGGTCAGAGTTTCAAACGATGCTCACGTTTTCTAACTATCGTCTGTAAGTTAAGGTAACGTGTTTTATGTCTTAGCTCTTAGCATCTTTAGATCTTAGTAGTCTAAATTGTCTAGTTAGAAAGACAAAAACGCTGCCCTTATTTCTTTTCACGCTTGCTTACGCCTAGAGAACTCAGCGTTAGTGTTTGACCTTAGGATTTAACGGTGAGAAAATCAAAATCGTCCGGCGATTCAACACTTTCTTCTTAGCGTACTGTGTTAATATTCCTCTATCTTCTTTTTACTCATTCACAAATACTAATATGTTCATTCCAGAGCCAAATGGATACCACAGAAACGGTTTCGAACAAAACGGTGTCGACGCAGTCCGTTTCATTTCGTGATACTGCCCAGATCTATCTCGACGTTTGTTGCTTTTTATCCAACGATTTTTTCCGGCAGTTTATTTCACGATTCCTATTTCGTTTTATTTCGCCAGGGCGCGTGTAGCGCAGTGCTCGAAGACGCCCTGCCATACACATGGGATCGATTCTAGCGCCCGTGGCCCACCAAGCCTTCCATCCCTCCGGGGTCGGCAAATTGGTACCAGTCTTGTCTGGGAGGATAGCAGCACTGGTTGAAAACATCGGTAGGCCACTGCTATTCATTGTAAAAGCCAGATATGCATTCAGTCACCACCAACGATGCTTAATGAAGTTGAATGCATGGCGCATCCCTAAGGGATTGATCATCGTCGAGAGTTTTATCCTTTATTTTTTCTATTTCGTAATAACATTTGAATCTAAGGTTTGAAATGGAAGACTAAGTAGAGAGCAAGGAAATGCAGGGTGTTGACTTCCCCTGACACGATAGTAAATTTAATCCTAGATCTTGCTTCTTCGATGCTATAGACCCTAGTCGCTTAATACAATTGTTTAATGTTTAGTTCAGTGTTTATATCTCTCTTAGCAGGTATTTGTAAAGAGCTTTCTAGACCCTTGCTTTTCATTAGGACTTGTCTTGTGTTCATTTGCTATCTCCTAGAGATTCCGGAGCTAGAGAGAGTTTTCATTTCAGAGTTTCCACGATAAGGTTTTCCACGATCTTGTTGCCAACTGTAGCCAATTACCTTCAAAAATTTCGATGATGAAAACTAGTAAACTGAAACAAAGTGAGCATCCGAGCAATTAGTTTCTCATTCTCTCCTTTTTTGTCATCCTATTCTTCAGATGATTATTCTTTATCGTATTTGATAAATTCCCATACGACTTCCGTATACACCTGCATTTTTCGAATTAAGGGTCTCTGGAGAAGCTCAAGGCCACCAAAGAGCAGCTGAGTGAAGTTGCCGCACTCAGAGAGATGTGGAAAGCACAATGTGAAGATCAACGAGGGCTTGTCATAAATCTAGAAAACGAAGTAATCAGCAAGGAAAACGAAGGCCGAGGTTAGGTTTACCCTATTTCTCTTGTTGACGGTACGGGTGTAGAGCAATGTTTCGAGGTGCCGTGCAATAAATATGGTCATTGGTTCTTCGGCTACAGGCAAACCAAGCCCACCATCCTTCTGCGCTGAAGCGATTGGTCCAAGTTTTGCCTGGAATGACAAAAAACTGGTCTGATCATCGTTAAGGTACCGAAAATCATTGTATGAACCGAATATGCACCAGTCACTTCTGGAACTTATGGTGAAGTACAGGGCCTGGGGGATCCTTTGGGAATTGTTCAGTTACGAGCATTTTATTATTTATCTTTTACGATTTATTTTTTACTCCAAACCACTTCTACGATACATAATGGAATCGAATACATGACGTACTCCTAAGGGATTCATCAACGTCGAACCCATTATCCTTTACCTCTTGTTGAGTGATGCTGATCTAGTTTATATGTGACACATACCCACCTTACAATAATGTGCCGCCTCATCAATGTTGATGGCATTCTCAATTATATACCGATAAATCCGTTCTCCATAAGTGTTATCAAGCTGTTAAACAGCTCTAGAGTTCTATCGAGATGCTCAGTCAATGGATGTAAACCAATGTCAACAGTGTAAACCAATGCAATCAAACCACTACTGCCCTAGTAGTTCGCAACGTGGTAAGTTTCCCGCCGATCGACGAAGGTGGTAAGGTAGTGATGAGGACAACTTGGTCGCCCACTAACAAAGCTAAAACTGCAAGGATTACAATATATAGCACAGCCAGCAGTTAACCCGTCCCACTGCCACACTAGTGAACACATCCATTGTACGCCGTAGAAAATGTTTATTGATCTGGACGTACAAAGCCGAAATTATCTTCTAAAACACTAATTTCTTTCGGAGACCGTTGCTTACACAAAAGTCTCGGTGGTTGTCCATCAGAGACAAGGAGAAGATCGACATGCGCCAGTTAAGCAGGGGCACTGATATCATTCGTTGAGAGAGGTTAAGAAGTATTGTTAGCAAGCATAGGTACCGTAAGCTTTGTGATACATCGTTCCTTCGTCCTTCCCACTGACTGACATGGGCTCATATTGGCTCACTTGGCCGTGCTCTTTCCCACCAACGTCTAAGAAGAAAAAAGCTATGTTTGAAGAGAATGTTCTGATCAAAATCTTCTACAATGATGACTGAAAGATAAGGGAGTACACAACCCAATATTACGAGCCGGTCATTGAATGACATAAAAGTTGCATCGTTGATTCATCAATTCTTCAATAAAAAATAATGTTTGCATCGGCTTTTCACCAGAAGTTGCTCATAAGGAGAAGAAAGTTGGGATTTAATTTGACCATAGCACACCTAATACGGCTTAGACTTAATGCAATCTGCAGGAAATCTATGCAAGAAGAAAACTCGCTTCGCTGCTAGAAGAATAAAAAAGGTTGGACGTAGCTCATTGGAAGAATTCTAAAAAGAAGCTGTCGTAATTCGTGAGAACAGTACGTTCAGCTGTTATGAGCAAGGATGAGATTACCAGAACCCCCCATTTGATCCGAAATTGATGGCCCAGCAATTCTATTTCATTCTCCGTTCCACAAACCTACTTCTAGACTTTAAAATCCGTGATGGAAGAGAGCCTCCATAGATCTTTCCACTTCAGGTCGGCTTGCGAACAAGAACATAGAAGGAAGCACAACTTCACGGACTTTCAATTGAGCGTATCAAAAAAATTTGGATGAAGCTCAATCAACTGAGCGGGAAGGATTCCGTTAGCGGATGTGGACCATATAGCAATGTCTATAGGGTCGCGGAAGTTTTTTGAAAATAGCGGAAAGTGTTGAGACGAATTCCATAATCAACCAAAGACTATATAATAGATTTGAATAATCCATAGTATACCATAAGGGCTAGCATATAACTAAAATACAGCTTTTCTATCCCAATAACATACGTATCACCTGTAGTCCCGTTGATTGTCGAGCGACTCAAACCAGCGGCGATAAATTTCCCATTTGCCCCTTTCGCATGCAAAGTGGCTACTGATCGGGATTCGCTGGGTATCAAATCTTCCTTCTGCGATTTTCATGAAGAACTCTGAGCATCAACTAGCTGAACGATGAATTAGCATGTTGGATTTTGGAGGAGAGAACCAGTGGGATGACATTACCATCTTTCTTAATTTCAAATGCGGGTAGGAAAACATAGCTATTAAAGAGATCAAAGTACTAGTCGTCGGTGTTCTTCTGCACTACCTTTCTGGAATCTGCAGCTATTTCGTCTGGGTGTCGGAATGCAACCATCTAAGTTTTGTAATTAACGAAACTTTGGTGGGCGTTGCGAATGCTTTTCCAACTTTTTGCAGCTTTTCCCGTTACTGCTACTGTTTTCTTCTTAAGATCTTCTTTTGTGGTCATTGTGCAGTGTTTTTCAAGTTTGGGCGTGAGTTTTAGATTACCTACTGTTCGTGGGATTAGTATATCAGCTCGAATGTTTCTGTAGACATACGTCTCTTGGTGACTTTCGAACTCTTCGCTTTCATAGCGCTAACGTGAAGTTGTTGAGTAAGCCGGTCGTATTCTCCATCGACATTGTCGGTAATCGCACATTGCTAAGAGCTGACTGGTGATCTGAATAGATTTCATTTTATGATGCTTCCAAGTTTCCATTTTTGTTATCATAGTGGCTTTCTTTTCTTTCCGCGAGAAATGTAATCTTGCGCAGACGACAGTCCGATTCCGCGTAAACTTTGAGACAACAGCGGTCTCGGTTGGGCAAAACCTTCGATTCACTATGATGTGGTCTATTTCGTTATAGTACTCTCTATGGGGAAACTCTCACGTCTGTCGTTGAGGGTGGGACTTCTGGAACTATGGGTTGATATGGATAGTCTTGGTCGTCGTGAATCCGCTAACTGTTCGTTCCTTTCTTCTCTGTGGGTCCAGAATTGGCGTTCTTGCTACGTTCAACTGGGTCCAGTCTTAACGTTGAAATCGCCAATGATGAACTTGAAGAAGATATGATGCTCTCTGTAGAATTGCTCCAAGTTTATACATCACGCTTCGGCCTCGTCTCCACCATAGCTTGACGTGGGTGCGTAAATATGGAGGCTGTAAAAGCCGGTGTTTGTCCACGCCGTTCCCATAGTAAGTCTGCTCATGAACGAACTTGTGTTGACGAGGTCGCCAACGCTGCCTACTCTTCTACTATCGCGTATTCTAAGAAACGGGTTTTTTCGATACAATAGGCGGCGTTCACTGGGCGACTCCTCGTCTCAGTCAGTTTGATGATGTCGTACCTTACCGTTCTTGCATGCATAATCAAGTCCTTAATGGGGAGCTACATCGAAGTGAACGTGCACTATAGGTACAGAACCCCCTGCAGACTTAAGCAACCTGGATTGCCCTTGAGGTCTTAGCATCCGCTCCGTGCTCGTCCTAACCATTGCTGCCACCATAGTCGAGGACATGCCCACGTACCCATTCGTGAACGTGTCTGTGTAAGCACAACAGGTATGTGTCAAATTAACGAAGGAAGAACACGGAGTCCATCCCATGGATT